CTGGGCTCAAGTGATCCTTCCACCTCATCCTCCCAAGTAGCTAGAGTTATAAGTGTACATCACCGTCACAGAGGCTGGCCCAATGCTCTTTTTAAATTCACCTGCCTTGGATAATCTATGGCAAACAAGTATTGTTGGTTTTGTAAAAATGGATATGCCTCCAGAGTTGTCAGCATTAATACAATGCAGACACACAACTTTTATTCTACTAGGTTTACTAGTCAAATAATTTCTTGTCTTTTTTTGGTGCTGGGGATTAAGCTAGGCAAATGCCCTACAGCAAAGCTGCACCTCTAGCTCTCAAGTTTTTTTTTTTTATCTTAACTAAATATTTACAATCATAAAGCTGAGTTAAAACTAAGAAACAAGCCAGACGTAATGGTGCATGCTCATAAACCTAGCTGCTTGGGAGGCTGAGGTAGGAGGAATCCAAGTTTATGGCCAGTCTCAGCAACTTAGACTGTGCCTCAAAATAAAAAAATAAAAAGGGCTGGGTGGATAGAGCGTCCCTTGGTTCAATCTCCAGTATGTGTGGGGTAAGGAAATGACAAGTTTTCCTGGAAGCACTGGTGTGCTCTTTCACTTTTTTCTTTATTTTTATTATTGTTAATTGTACATGCTTATGAGGTACAGTGTGATAATTACCCACATATGTACAATGTGTGCAGATTCAATCAGGATAGTTAATGTTTCCATCTCCTTATCATTATTTTGTCTTTGGAGCTCCTGGCTGTTCTGTTCTTGATAAGAGATTGTGAACGTATCTCTTAAATAATCTGCCTAAGGGGGAAAAAATCTGTTTTATCAAGATAATTTCCTGTGCTTCCTATGGTCTTCATTAGTTTTATTTTGTTTTGGTACTAGGAATTGAACTCAGGGCACCCAACCACTGAGCCACATCCCCAGTGCTATTTTGTATTTTATTTAGAGACAGGGTCTCAATGAGCTGCTTAGCTTTTTTGCTGAGGCTGGCTTTGAACTCCCTAACCTCCTGTGTCAGCCTCCCAAGCCACTGGGATTACAGGCTTGCACCACTGCACCTGGCTCATTAGGGTTTTTTTAATTAATAAGTTTGAAAGACTGGAGGGGTAGCTTGGTGGTGGATTTGTTGCCTACCATATTTGGGGCCCTGGGTTCTATCCCCAGCACCACATAAAAATCAAAACCCCAAAAAACTGAGTGTTTTCAGTTTTAAAAGTTTTTACACAATCATGTAACTTTCTGTATTTGTCTTTCACTCTGTTATTGCTTCACAATGATCTGTGACTTCATTTAATCGAAAGTTCTAAAAAAAATTTTTTTTTTGGTACTAGGGATTAAGCCCAGGACAGCTTAACCACTAAACCACATCCTCAGCCTTTTTTATGGTTTATTTTGTTTTGATATAGCGTCTCACTGAATTGCTTGGGGCTGTTAAGTGGCTGAGACTGGCTTTGAACGTGCAATCTTCCAGCCTTAGCCTCTAGAGCTGTTGGGATTACAGGCCTGTGCCACCTTGCGCTCCAAACCTTTTGATAGTGTCCAAAATCAAATTCTAAATTGTCTTTATTTTTAACCTCAAACTAACTTTAAGATTTTCCAGATGGGTCCTTGGAATATCTCAAAATAATTTGTTCTCTTTAAAAAAAACAAAGATGTTAAACTAATAAGGCTTTTTTTTAAGGCCTTGCAAGTGCTAAGCATATGCTCTCCCACTGAGCTACACTCCCCCCCAGCACTAATTAGGCTTATCTGATGTTAAATTATATGGGGAGCATCCTCAAATAAGTGATGCTCACTAAGCCTTCTTTAGGTAATAAATATAGATAAGTGTTATTAACATAAGTATTCTAGAAGTTGTATGAAATTTCTAGTAATCTGATACATCCTGGTATAATGAGCTATATTACATATCAGTCATAATGATAGTTATCTTAAAATATTGTATGCTACAGAAATTATAAAATTTACTTGTCAACTTCATTATAATGAACTTTCATTAGAATTTTATTTGTACCAAGGATTGAACTCAGGTTCACTAAGCCACTGAACCACTTTTTTAAAGACAGGGTCTCACTGAGTTGCTTCTTGCCTCACTAAGTTGCTGAGGCTGGCTTTGAAGTTTCCATCCTCCTGCCTCAGCCTTCCAAGCCACTGGGATGACAAGTGTGTGCCACTGTGCCTGGCTCATCAGATTTTTTTTTTTTAATATTTTTAGCATTGGATGGACACAATAGCTTCATTTATTTAACTTTATTTGTTTATTTATATTTTACGTGGTGCTGAGGATTGAACCAAGTGCCTCGCACGTGCTAGGCAAGTACTCTACCACTAAGCCATAACCCTAGCCCTCATCAGATCTTAAACTGTGGCCATTTAAAGGATTTTGTTATCCACTGACAATTATTATTTTATTCTGATGCTTTCCTAAAGCTTTTGTGAGCAACCATAACCCTATAAATCTGCCTTCGAGATTTATGGAATGGACTCTAAAAAGTACAGGTTTTTGACTGAATCTAAGGAAACTTTTTCAGCAGTTTGGTAAAGTACACTCTTTGTAAACTTAAATTAAACATTTCCTATTTCTCCCTAATTGATCTTTCCAGAATTCAGAAATTTTTAGTGAATGTTCTTATTTTCATGACAGAACAGGTATTTGTGTAAGTTCAATAAGAACCTGTTTCTTATAGGACACAGTTGGAAATATTGCAGTATTACCAAACCTTTGACCAGAATGTCACATTTGAAAGTATGACTAGGGCCATATATGACCAAATTGTTTTAAGGAACTAAAGTTGAGTTTAAGAAGCCAATTAAAGGGCTGGGGATGTGGCTCAAGTGGTAGTGCGCTTGCCTGGCATGCGCAGGGCTCTGGGTTGGATCCTCAGCACAACATAAAAATAAAGATTTAAAAAAAAAAAAAGAAGCCAATTAAAGCCCTTGAATGTGAGGGGCTAAACTACTCTGGTGCCTTAAATACATGGTTTCTTTCTACAATTGTATCAGGCCCAGGAACCTCAGTGTGTTTGGGGAGCCTCCAGGTAAAATCACCTAAATCTATAGATATTGCAAAGTCATATGACAAATATTTAGTTTTCTGGCCTCAAAAGTGTGTGTGTGTGTGTGTGTTTGTGCGCGCGCGCATGTGTGCACACGTGCGCTTACTAGGGATCAAACCCAGGATCTCAAGCATGATAGGTAAGCATTCCACCACTGAACTACACCTCCAGCTATAGATTCTGAATATTTTAAAGTGGAGTCATCAGAATTTGCTCATATGGATGGAGAACTGTGATAGGAAAAGAGGAGTTCAGGATAATTTCCAAGATTTTGGCCAAAGCAATTGGAAAGACACAATTTGGGAAAACCTGGGAAAAGGGCAGTTCTAGAGGGAAATGAGGCTATTTACCCAATGTCTGACTTTGGAAAAGGTGCTTAACTACCCTGAATCTTAGTTCCTCAATGGTTATCCATTGGTTATAATTTTTGCTTCGCTGCACCGTGGTCGTGAGAATTGAGTGAGATCATGAACTCTGTACTGGCATACACGTGTATTCAATGTGTCCTACCCACAGCCCTGGGATAAATACATGACCATGAAACTTCATCTGGTAGCAACTATAAGAAGACTCTGCCTGTGAATGTGCACTTTCTTGCTCCTCATCCCTGCTTCTTCCACATAGAAGTAGACAGTCCTTTCTGACCTTGTAAGTTTTCTTTCTTCAAGGTCTTGAATGGTGATGGAGATGACAATGATGCTAACAGCAGCTGATGGTGGGGTGCTGATATGTGATCATAGTCTCAAGACCTTGAAGTTTTTATAATACGTCAAGGCCATTATCTCATCTGAATCCAGAAAGGCAGGAATTATAACAATTTTCAAAATAGGAGAATGAAGTATTTAAAAACAAGAACAAACAAAAAGCCTGTCTATAAACCCAAGGAGATACACCTGGCTACCTTATGGATCCTCCTCTAATCACAAGGAGGGAAAAGTAGGGAATTAGGTCCCTCCTCCATCTTTGAGTACAAATGTCACCCGACTGTATCCAAGTGTGCCCAGCTATGAAATGGACTGTCTTTACTCCTCTGCCCCCCAGGAGAGGGCCTGCTCCCACCAGGTCCTGGTTTCCTATCTTGTCCACTGGAACAGGTCTGGTGTTAATAAATGTGTCCTGGGGGCTATTTTACTGCATCTGAGGTTTGGACATGTGGGTGTCCTACATTGTCCTGTTCAGTTCCTCCTCTCGGTTCTTCCCAGCCATTGAGGTAGCAGATAAGGGGACTTGAGCCCAGAGGAGTCAGTGTGCTTAAGGCCACACAATTAGCAAATGCTGTTTGAATTCCAACTCTGAGGCTTGTACCCAGCAAGGGGAATTCCTGCACATGCTCCCTCCTTCCTTTTCCTTCCAAACTGGAAAAGGGGATCAGCCCAGCTGCCTGCTCCCCTCCATGTACCAGGTGCCAGAACACAGCTGTCTCTCCATTGTTTCCCCTACCCAGGCAAGCTGAGCTGGGTGGGGTTACCCAGTGTTGCATCCAGCTAGGCTGTCTCCACTGCAGGAAGATCCAGCCAGAGACTGATTCTGAGCAGCAGTCCTGACTGGTGAGAGCTGAACTGATCGGTGGGTGTAGGGGGCCGGGGTGTTAAGGATTGCAGGTCTGGGTGGATCAAGAACCCCCCAAAAGAAAAATTAGAATTGCCTGGGGAAGAATTGCTGGACTGAGGAAGAAAAGTTGGGGAATGTCAGGGGGATGGAAGGGGTCCCAGGAACAGTAGAGCCCCTGGAGACAGGGAAGGGCTGGCTGTGAGTTCTAGCTCCAGTTTTTCTCTCCCCATCCGTGCTGTGGTGAAACCCCCTCTACCAGCTACCTTGCTTAGAGAAAGGGAAAAGCAACCCACAAATTGGTAAACTGAAGAGAGGGGGGGTACTCCTGTCCACCCATGCTTTTGGCAGGTGAGGTGGGAGCAGGAAGCACAAGGTTAGAGCCTCCGTTGCCTTCGCAGCGCCGAGCTCGCCATGCCTGCCCCGCTGCTCCCACTGCTGCTGCGAGGACTGCTCTCCCGTCTGCTGCTTCCTGCTGCCCGCCTGGCCCGCCAGCACCTCCTGCCCTTGCTGCATCGGTTGGCCCGTCGCCTGAGCTCCCAGGATGTTCGAGAGGCTCTTCTAGGCTGTTTGCTGTTCATCCTCAGCCAGCGACACCCGCCAGATGCTGGGGAGACCTCCAGAGTGGACCGCCTGGAGAGAAGGGAGAGGTTAGGCCCCCAGAAGTGAGGCTACACATCCTGGCAGCAGCCATAGCCATCGCAATGCTTTCTCCTGGAGTAGGAGTAGTTCTGGCAACAGCACTAAAGCAGCCTGCCCACTGGGCAGTCCAGTGGGGATCTGACCTGAAGGCCTCCCCCTCCCAGCAGACATGTCTTTGTAGAAGGATGCCCCGCATCTCACAGACAATTGATCACTGCCCCTTCCTCCTCCTGCAATTCTCAAAGATCTTTGCTAACAACCTCTGACCTCAGGGGAGAGGAGACCTCACCTCCTGGTAAATGAGGACAATTTATCTAAGAGGTGATATTTGAATCCAGACTGTTGGTCTTCCAGACTTGGGACCTACCTACCTTAAAATATGATTTTGGTTGCCTTTGGAGGCAGCACTGTTCCTAAAGCCCAGCACAAAGCAAGTGCTTAATAAATATTTGTTGAATTCTTGGGATGCTCCTTTGAAAGTTTTGTCACCTACACCTCAATGGTTGGCAGGTAGGGAGGGGGCTGGAGGAGAGGATCACTGGGAGGCTTCCTTTGGCTGTTTGTTTCATTGTCCACCTCAGTCTTCAAAACCTTGAAGTTGTTTATAGTGTCTAACTTTGCCCAGAAGGTCACACTTCCCCTAGTTATGGTGTGGGTCTGTTTTAGAGGAAGGTTGGCTGCTAGCTCACAGAGGGAGAAAAAACCGTTTGAGTCAGTTTGGAGTCATCTCAGCTAAAGGTGGTGAGAAGCGGGAGACTTGTTTGCTAAGCGACCCTGCGGGTAGCCACCGGAGAGGGAGGGGGCAGTGTAAAAATGTAGGACTTCAAGGACCTAGGAAAAAATAGGGAGGGGTAGCCTGAAAAAAATCAATTCCTTATTCTCCCTTCCCCAAAAGGAGGCAACTGGGGATGTGTGTGTTTCCAGTAAGAGTTGTCAGGCACATTTGCATCCCAGCCTCCGGATGATTTGTTTATGGTTCCCATGCAATAATCCTATTTCCCTGAGTCTTGGGCTCTGGTTGAGAGGGGGGATAGTGATGAATACAGGTTCCTCTCGGGATCCCCATTCAATCCCTTGTCCAGAGAAGCGACACCAAGGCTGTGCACCCTCACTCCAGTAGGACTTTCCCCGCCCCAGTCGCTTCCCGACGAGGTCATCCACTCGCTCTTGCCTCTCGAGAGGACGACCTGGGGTAGAGGCGGAGTAAAGGGGGTCTGAGTCCCGGGTTCCCTAACCCTGTCCCTTCGGAACACTGGCTGCTCGGCCCACGAGCCCCTCCCACTGAGCCTCCCTCACCGCCGGCGTCCCGAAACGCTCTGCGCCCTCGAGCGGCGAACGGCGCCAGGCGGGACTGAGAGCCTGCCGCGGATCGCTGGGCGGGCGCCGCAATCGCCAGTTGCAAACCTCCCGCCCGGCGGCAAAGACCCGGTCCACCCCGGCGCGGGCAGCGCTCTGGGGCCATGGACATAGCCTCAGGCCGGAGGTAAGGAGGCCAGGAGGGATCCCGGATCCGCCGGCCTGGGAATTTCCGTCCTCTCTGCCAAGTCCGGATGCCCCCGCCAAAGTCTCAGCAGGTGCGCAGGGAACGGCGGCGGGGGCGGCGGGGGAGCGCGAGGCGCGCGCCGGGCAGGGGCGGGCTCTGCGCGGTTCTCACGCTGCTCCTGCAGTCTGATCCTCTATGGATTCTGAATCTGCGGTTTCTAGAAGGGAGGGTAGTTTTCTGGGAGTTTGAAGGTGACTCCCCCTCTTCCTTGATCTCAGCTATTTACAATTGCCAGAGGTCAGAGATCTGCCTAGAGCAGAAGTCGGGGGCCTGAGCAGACCCAGTGAACAAAGACTTAATTCTTCTTGAACCCTGACCTAAAACCCACCCTTTGTACACACCTGTCTTTATTTAAAAATTCGACCTTGTATTAATCATTCTTTTTATTAAATTTGGGTTTTTAAAAATTTATTAGTTGTAGTTGGACACAAAACCTTTATTTTAGTTATTTTTGTGTGGTGCTGAGGATGGAACCCAGGGCCTCCACATGCTAGGCGAGCACTCTACCGCTGAGCCACAACCCCAGCTCTAAATTTGGTTTTTGAACATTTCACTAGGGCTGAAGTGTAGCTCAGTGGTGTCCCTAGTATGTTCAGGGTCATGTTCATGAACCCCAGCACATAGTTGATCTTTTCTTTCTCTCGCTTCCTCTCCTTTCTTCTTTCTTTCCTAGTACTGGGAATTGAACCAGGGGCGCTCTACCACTGAGCTACATCCCCAGCCCTTTTAATTTTTTTTTTTTAATTTTGAGACAGGGCTTCTCTAAGTTGCCTAGACTGTCCTGGAACTTGCCTTCTTCCTGCCTCAGTCTCCCTAGTACCTGGGATTACAGGCCTGCATCATTGCACCCAGCTGATACCCAACACTTTCAAACAAACCAAAATTCCACATTGCATTACAAATTTATCATGATGATGATGATGATGATTTTGGCATCCCTTAAATTTGGTGTCTTAGGTAGCACCTCACTGTCCTCACTCTAGAACCAGCCCTGCCACAAAGGCCATGAAGACAATCACAAACACAACTGAGAACATGACACATATTCTAGTGATAACCCCCCCCCCCCCCCCCCCCCCCGGGCTCAGCAAATACATTTCCAGCAAACACAGATGGCTTGTTGATGACAGCTGAGAGGACACAGGCCTGGAGAGAGAGGGCTGTGTGCTGGTGGTGAGGCATGCTTACAAGTAACCCAGGGGAGGAAGGAGTCTGGAGCATGCCACAGTCCCCAGTGGAATAGGGAATAAGGTGGGTATGGGGGTCTGAAGGACCAAAGTTCCCCTCCATTCCCTGTGACTGAGATCTGATTCCATGAAGGGAGAGAACCACAAGACTGGGCAGAGGACTGACTAATTTAGCTAGAAAATCTCCAGGCACAGACCTGTGTTAGTGGGCCTCCGAAGGCTGTCCAGCAGAGGGCGTGGACAACCAGCCACCTTCTCTGTCTGGGAAGGCCACCGTGATGGGTATGGGTCTGGCCCTGGCCCAGGAAGGGTGTGTGCCAGATAGACTTCTCTCCAACAATAATAGGCCTGGCTGTTGCCATCCCTTGAGCAGGCCAGGCCCCATGGGGATGGGGAGAGGAACCAACCTTCCCTAGTCTGGTCTCCTGGGGACCCTCACCACTTCCTCCTGTTTCCTCATACTTCCAGCCCCCTTTGCACACAACTGCAGCCACTAACCACCGAACCTGGCTGTGCCTGGCGGATCTCTCTGACCACCAGTCCTGCCACCCCCACAGGGCCAGAGCCAGAAAGGAAGGTGGGAATGAGGCAGGGGGCCAAGGAGAAGGGGAGGCAATAGCAAGGTGAGGAAGAGAGAGAGACCGGACAAACATGAGGGTAGGAACCCAAGGTTGTGGACAGACATGAGCCACTCAAAAGCCAAGGGACAGTGCCTAGAAAAATACCACCCACCCCATCTTCCTGCCCTCTGTTTGCTTCCTGCTGTGGGGAAGATGTGTATCATCTCCACCAGAGCTATAAGGCTGGGGACACCTCTACCCACTGCCCTATATAAAACCCCTCCCTCCTCAGGGCCCAGGCTTTCTTGGGGAGAGGGATGATTTTGAAGTGTCCCTATGATTTTAGTACCACTAATTGTTTGATGTAATTTTTTGGTACCAGGGATTGAACGCAGGGGCCCTCAACCACTGAGTCCTTTTTTGTATTTCATTTAGAGACAGGGTCTCAATAAGTTGATTATAACCTTGCTAAGCTGATTAGAACCTCCATAAGCTGCCAAACCTGGCTACAAACTCACTGTTCTCCTGCCTCAGCCTCCTGAGCCGCTGGGCACCCAGGCGCTAATTGTTAATTAGTGTGTATGACTTCTCCAGGGGACAGGCCTCTGGGGTAATTGAGGGTGGGGTAAGCAGCCTAGGTTGAATTTTCTCTCCCCAGGACACTTCCAACCTTTGGATAGTCCTAAAGCGCTGAGCACTGAGGTAGGGGCAGAGAATGACCCCCTGATTTACTTTCCAACAAGAACAAAAAGGAATCCCTGCTCCTCCCTTGGAGGTACATGGTGGACCCCTCCTCAACACGGACCCCATCAGCCAGGGAAGGATATGGAGCTCAGCAAGGATTCCACCTCTGACCTATATCGTCTCTGGGACAATGGGATTTGTGCAGGATGTTGGGCTCTTCCTGGCTTTCTCTTCCATTCCCAGCAGTGCCTCAGTTTTCCAAAGTGCTCGATTTAGAAACGGTAGATCATGAGGGAGCCCGAGGACTCTGCCTCTCTCCCCTACACAGAGACAAGAGACAGAGACGGAGACACTCATCCCTTCAAGTCAGAGCTGTGGGGTGGCATGATGTTTATGGACCTATGGCCATGTGTATGTGTCATGGGTAAGAAAAACCCACCACACAGGTCACAAATGATTGAGTCGTAAGGATCCCACAAGGGAGTGGGTGAAAGGGACAGAAGTCTTATTGAAACGAAAGGAGAAGGGATCTAAACTGGAAAAGGTGGGACACTGGAAAGAAAGGCGGCTCTGTGTAGTGTAGAGGCGTGGGCGGGGTTTGGGGCGGGATAACGGAACACCTCAGCTGAGCCTGGCGGATCCTGGCAGTGGGGGCGTCCGGGCCTGTGAAAAGTCCCTGGGATGGGACTTTGCACAGCCTCGGCGCGGAAGGGACTAGGGGCGCCTAGTGTCGAGCTGTGCCCTCCAGGCCCACACGCCTAATAACGGGCTGGGTTAGTGTGGCCCTAAGAAATAATGCGACCAGATGGCCCTGGGACGCAGGGTGTCCTGGTGCAGGCCCCGGCGCTTGCAGATCTGCTAAGCGGGAGACCCTGGGGGCGGGGGGCGGGGGGCGGGGCGAGGCCGGCAGGGTAGCGGGAGGTGGTGGCGGGCGCGGACCGGGGGCGGGCTCAGCGGAGGGCGGGTTTGAAAGCTCTCCCGCGGGCGCGGGAAGCTGCAGAGAAAGCGCGCAGGTCTCCGCGCGGAGGAGTTCTTCTCCGGCAGGTGCTCCGAGGGTCTTGGGTGGGCGCGTGCCGGGGACGGCCGGGCGTGGGGTGGCGCGTCCAGCTTGCCACGAGGGAGGGAGGCCAGGCCAAACAGCTCCGCGGCCTAGCGACCGTCGCCGGTCCCCTGCTTCCCTGGCCTGACTCGTGCAGAGCGCGCAGCACGTGGCACACCCAGGCTCTGGGCGCTGGGGATTTCTGTGGGGACCACAACCGGAGTGGGGCATGGGTGGCCTGGCTCCCGGGCCTAAAAGCTGCTGTTGCCTCGCGGACCTCCACAAGACGCAGGCGAGGGGACATTTAATCCTGGTCGATTGTCTTCAAGACATGGGAGGGGCCAGGACACCGTGTTCGCAGTGAGGGGGATGGGGATGGGGGCGACGCAGATGGAGGTAGGGGAGCTGTCCCTTTAAGTATCTCTTTTATTGGCCAAATTCTTGTCCCTGACCTCCCGTTCCTGGCGCGTCCTCGTTTACTTACAGAGTAAATGAGAGACAAGGATAGCAAACGCCGGGCTTTATCCTCGGGGGAGAGCAGCGATGGGCCCTCACCCTCCTAGGGATCTCTCCCCAACCCTGTACCGACCCTTGGCTCACTCATCTTAGTAACCTCCAGACCCTTGGACTTGTCCTCCTGTCTATGAGTTCTTCATGCCTGAATGTATATGTGTGATGGGATGGAGATGAGGTACCCTACCTCTGACATTCATGTCAGGCTGGGAATGATCTGGGCCCCCACTTTATTCTTCTATTTATTTATAGGGGGTGACTGGGGATTGAACCCAGGGGTGTTCTACCATTGATCTTCATTCTCAGCCTTTTTTTTTTTAAACAGAGTTGCGCTAAATTGCCAAGGCTGGCCTCAAACTTGCTATACTCCTGTCCCAGCCTTCCCAATAGATGGAATTATAGGCCTATTTTTTCCCTTTAATTGCAGCAGTGCCCCCCCACTCCCCAGTCTACAGGGACATCTGGGAAGCAGTCTTTATACCTCCCTGCCCAGCCGGAAAGGAACCTAGAATGAAATGAGCATTGAGTTTGAATCCTGACTCCCCATTCACCTATTCAGTGAACTTGGGCAAGTGACCCAACATCTCTGAACCCCGGCTGGCCCATCTGCTCAGCAGAAACAATCTAGAACTAGCTTCTGGATAGTTGAGAGAAAGAGGGGATCTACAGTAGTGACTGGCCTATAGGGCACCCTGGGGAATGGAGATTTGATGTAGCACAAAGGTATGCCTGGAAGTTGGGTTGAGAGGTGTTAGGAACCTAGGGGCAGGGAGGGGCTCCATTTTGTGGCTGCTTTCAAGACTTGACAGGCCAAGGCATGGCCCTGGGACACCAGATGGTCTGAGCTGGTATCAGATCCCTGGTTGCTGTTGGGCAAAACCTGACAAGAACAAAACACCTAAGTTGGCCAGTGGAATGTGAAGATGTGGGCAGGGGTGGAGGGGTGCCCAGTGGAATTGCAGGGCACCCAGGACTGGGGTGAGGACTGTGTAGAACAGGGGCCAGGCTGGGAAAGAGGACAAAAATAGACATTTCTCCAAGCCTAATGCACTTTGCTAAGGGGAGGGGGCTATTCTGCCAGGAGCCCTTTGTGTTGGGGTAGGGTGGAACACCGGCTCTGTGGAGGTGAGAGATGGCGGGGTCCCTCCCTGGTACAGATGAAAAACCTGAGTCCTTCCTCCACTCCAGCAGAGCCCTCTTGTCCTTATCCCTCTAGAAGACATCAATACTATTGTTTGCCACTCTGTCCCCAGTGCCTAGCAACAATGCTTGGTTGCATGCTGAGGTCCTTAGTAAATATTTGTTGAAAGAGGATTGGAAGAAGAAGCCCTTCTCCTCCATTTGGAGGTACGCCCCCACCCCTACGACCCAGCTTTGGACTGAGGGATGAGGAAGATCTGTGGAGTCTAGAGTTTACCCAGGGAGGAGTGAAAAAGCCCATTGAGGGTCTCAGAGTCCCCTGCTGTCACTGCTGTGACCTTCAGGTGCAGGGGGCTCTCCTTGCAATCTTATCTCCCCAGCAGCTCTGGGCCTTTTATCTCCTGGGTTTGCTTTTGTGCTCATGAGGCTTCTCAGAAAGAGGCCCATGAGGCCAGAGGGGTCCTCTCTTGCTTTGCCCCATACCACCTTTTTCACTCTAGGCCCTCCTTCAGGACCATGTGGACAAGGTCTGCTGCCCAGCCTGCCTTAGGACCCCCTCCTAGGGACTGCCCAGGCCCCTTCTGTTCTCCCCTTCTGTTAGTGAGTCTAGGCAAGTGCCTGGACAGGGAGCAGAAGGCCGGCCTCCAGACAGCAGCAGACCTGGTTCCAGAGCTAGGCTCACCTGGAGGGTGGGCCAGTGCATGCCAGCGTGGCCACCCAGGCCATTTAATGGAAAGCTGTTTAACCTTCTGGTGCCAGGGAGCCTCCTACACAAGTGAGGCACAGAGAGGAATGCCGAGGCCGGTGGCTGGGAGCTTTGGGACTCAGCAGTTTGGGTCTGTGCCTGAGGCCCTACACCTCCAATCTTCCCTTTAAGCCAATCTCAGAAAGGAGAAGAAAACATCGGCCTAGAGTGGAACTCACAGGGGGATGGGATGACCTTTGGGCCAGCACTGGGGGTCAGAGTGGCTGGTCTGGGTTGTGAGAAGGGTCACATCCCCACACCCTTTGTGAAATATTTCCCTGGAAATCTGGCTGGGAATTAGGAAGCCTCTGGGCAGTGGTTGAAAAGAAAGGTTTAAGATGCCCCTAGGAGAGAGGCCAGTCTGAGGTGCCTTCAGTAGGGGACAGGCTCCACAAAGCCTACCCTGTCCTTGAATCCAGGGGCTCCTGGGTAAATTGACAGATCAGACTTGCGGAGGGGGCCTGGGGCCTCTGCAGATTTGTTTGGTTTTTGTTCTGTGCCTTGCTCCCCCTGCCTCTGGCTGTCCCCTCCACTTTGTTCCTGTCCTCCAGCTCACCTTCCATTGTCAGCACGGCCTCTGACCCTTCTCATCTCTTCTCTGTCTTTGACTGTCTTTCCTTCTCTCTCAATCATGCTTCCTCCTCCTTCTTTCCTGCTCTCCACCCTCCTGTTTCCCAGCTTATAAACTGCTTCGGCTGCTGGATAAAAATAGCGGTGGCAGCGGCCAGGCCGGGAGCCAGGTGGAGGCTGAGCAGCCATAGGGGCCCCATCAGACTGGCCTGCTGGGCCAGAGGGTCTATCCGAGTGGTCCTGAGGGGCAGGACCCAGAGGGGATCCCGTGGGACTCTCCACTTGCCCGCTCTGTCTGCCTCGTCCCCTCCTCCCCACAAGAGTCTGAGGAGGGCTTGGTGGAAGCAGGGCCTCCCGTTGCTTCTGCCCCCAGCAAGCCTCAGAGGGAGGGAGCCGTCAGCCAGGCGCAACTGAGAACAACAGCACCATGACCACCACCAGTCACCAGCCTCAAGACAGGTAGGTACTGGGGGCAGGGGAAGGGACCTGGGCTAGGGATCAAGGGAATGGGTCTCCAGGGGGGTGGGGGCAGTGTTCCTTGGAATTTGGAATTGCCACCACAGGGTGGCCAGGTAGCTCTGAGTCAGGTCTGCTTTGGGCTGGGAACCATGCATGTCTTGGCTGGGTGATGGCAGGGGAGCCTGCAGGGGGGCATGAGGTGGCAGCAGCCTGTCTGGCCTGTCGGTGTTCCAGTATTGCACTCCAGCTAGTCCCACAGCTTCTGTCCCCTTCTGCCACCACTGGGGAGATACTTGGCAATACCCTTCATTCCAGAGCACATCTGGCAAAACCTCCCTGTCCCTCAGGACTACCCTGGGGCCTGTGCCTCAGATTACCCCACCCCACCCTGGTCCTAGATATGACCTTCCCACTTCTGGAGCCTGTGAACTCCCTCAAGTTAGAGCTGCCATAGCAATGAGGAAGAGTTTTGGAGGGAGAGACTGTATGGGTTCGAGCTCTATAATGGTTTGGGACATGACAGTGTTGATGAAGCCCTGCCACACTTTAGCCAGGCTTCAGGCTGTCCTTCCCTCTGCCTCGGGCCACCACACCCCCCTCACATTTCCCCTGCCTACCTTCTTTTCTTTCTGCGCCAGAGTTTATGGAACCAGGCCACTTTGTGGGGTCTTTTAACTTGGTCTCTTGGGGACCGTTTCCCCACCTGTGAAACAGATAAGAATATCCACTTCACAGGGCTGTATGGAGGGGAGAGAATTGAAGTAAGGCCCAGGTGCTTCCTCCCTTCCCAGGCAGCCCGGTGCCCCAGCCTGGCCCCCTCTTCTGCGGTGGTTCCCTGAAGCCCTCTCCCCTCTTCACCACCTGTCTTCCCACCCCACCTCTGACCCTCTGTCCTGTATGACCTTGCCTGGGAGTTTTGCCCTTCATTATGGGCCTCCAAATCAACCCTTTAGCATGTTTACTTCAAAGGGGATATGAAGGCTTTGGGGACTGCATTTGTCATAGCTCAGATCTATCTATTTGGGGCACTCACCAAGATCCTCTCCATATGAGGTGTGTGATGTTCCCCTACCCCGTGGCCAGGCCTCCTCCTCAGTGCCTTGGGTCAACTCTGAAGAATGTGAGTCTTGGCTGCTGGGAGGGTATGACACACATATCTGGAGATAGCCATGGGCCTTAGTGACCCTGGTGCTCCAGGTTGCTAAGCTTGTAGGTAAGGCCTACATAATTAAATACTGGCCTGGCTGGAGCTGGGTGGTCTTTATTTATACCGGGCCCAGATGACTGTCCAGATGACGTCCAGTGGCTACAGACCTCTTGGCCTGCCTTTGGTAGTATGACCTATAAAACCAGTTCTGTCTGGACCAGGGGGAAAAAAAAAACAGCAGTAGCTCTCTCCTTCCCTGCCTCCCAGGCACCCCACCTTCCTGTTCTGCTAGATCCAGAATGGTCTGGGAGCTTCTTGACCTCAGAATCCTCTTTGGGGAACCATACAGTTCCTGCCCAGATGCACAATCACTTCCAGACAGCCAGCCTGGTGGGAGCAGAAGACTCCTCGCTGTTTGTTTTCTCACTCACCCGCCCACCCCAGCCCTTCAGCAGGATTTTCAAAACCATCTCCGGATATGTGGGTCACACTGGTTCCCAGCCTGCAGGATCCCCTGAGTGTTCGAAGGCTGAGAACCAAGGTCCTATCTGCCATGCCATTCAGTCCTGGGTCCCTGGACTCCACATATTCCCTGGGAGAACTGAAGAGATTGAGGGCAGGGAAGAAGGGGTCTCAGGTTGACCTGGAAGGGTGGGTAGGATGGCGGGTCACTTGGCTTCTCTTTCCTCCCATCCCAGATACAAAGCTGTCTGGCTTATCTTCTTCATGCTGGGCTTGGGGACACTGCTCCCCTGGAATTTTTTCATGACAGCCACTAAGGTGAGACAGGGGGGAACTGGGTTCCATGGGGGCATGTCCTCTGGGCTTCCAGGGCCTGGGTATGTGCATTTGGGCATAGGAAGGGACAGAGGTTTCAACATTTTATCTGCAACCCTTGCAGTATTTCACAAACCGCCTGGACATGTCTCAGAATGTGTCCTTGAATGCTGCTGTATTGAGCAAGGACATACAGGACCCAGCTGTCCCCACAGCACCCTTACCAGAACAGAGGTCTCTCAGTGCCATCTTCAACAATGTCATGACCTTGTGTGCCATGCTGCCACTGCTGCTCTTCTCCTGCCTTAACTCCTTCTTGCATCAGAGGTGAGTACCTACCTCTGCCCCAGCACTGCCATTACTGCCTCCTGCCCACCCCTCATTGCTACCCGGGGCCTCTCCTGCAGGATCCCCCAGTCTGTACGGATCCTAGGCAGCCTAGTGGCCATCCTGCTGGTATTCCTGGTCACTGCCATCCTGGTGAAGGTGCAGCTGGATGCTCTGCCCTTCTTCGTCTTCACCATGATCAAGATCATACTCATTAATTGTAAGCTTGGGCCGGGAGCGGACGAATGTCATGAGCAGTTGGGGTTCAAAGGCTTGAACCTGCCTGGGCTGGGCTGGGTGTGAGGCAGAGAGAAGCTCAGCATCAAACCTCACTGGGAGGGGCTGGGGTTGTGGCTCAGCAGTAGAGGCTCGCCTAGCATGTGTGGGGCGCTGGGTTCCATCCTCAGCACCACATAAAAATTAAAAAAAAAATAAAGATATTGTGTTCAAAGATATTTTGTTCAACTAAAAAAAAAAAAAAATGCCTCACTGGTAGCAAGCAGGAATCACAGGGCCTTATTTTCCTTTGGACCCTTGACTGCCAGCCCCACCATCCCTTGCTGATACTCATCCTGTTCCCCAGCATTTGGCGCCATCCTGCAGGGCAGCCTGTTCGGTCTGGCTGGCCTCCTGCCCGCCAACTACACAGCCCCCATCATGAGTGGCCAGGGCCTGGCAGGCCTCTTCGCCTCAGTGGCCATGATCTGCGCCATTGCCAGTGAGTCCTAATGTTCACCTGCCTACTGCCCTGGGGGGGTGTGGGGGAGAAGGGATGGGGCCTCTCTCTGATCACAGACCTTGTCTATCCCAGGTGGCTCAGAGCTGTCAGAAAGTGCCTTTGGCTATTTTATCACAGCCTGTGTGGTTGTCATTTTGGCCATCGTCTGTTACCTGGCTCTGCCCAGGCTGGTGAGCAAATGGAGGGATCTGGGGTTTGGTGGGTGGGGAGGTTCAGGGTCTAGACCAAGAGTCTGGAACTGAAACTGGGGGAGGCAGGAGTTCCAGCAATGCCTCTGACTCTGCCTCCCTGTCTCCCTTGCTCGATAGGAGTTCTACCGCTACTACCAGCAGCTCAAGCTTGAGGGGCCTGGGGAGCAGGAAACCAAGTTGGACCTCATCAGTAAAGGTCTCATAGCCAAAGGAAGCAGCGGGGGCGGGCGGCATGCCAGGCAGGAGCAGCATGAACATGAGCAGAGGGGACAAGAATGGACACACTGTATTAGCTGGCAGCCATGAGCCAGTGGAGGACAGAGCAACCAGGGGTGGAGGTAGGGGGACCGTAGGAAATGAGGGCTGGGAATGTTAAAATGTGGGGAGATCCTATGACCCTGATGCCCCAGGCATGTGGATTGAAGGTGCTAGGAAGCAGTTTCTGATTTGGGGTAGGGAGCCACATGACCTGAAGGTCCTGGGAATGGTTAATCCCTGGGTGGGGGGCTCAAGCCCTGGGGATTTGGAAGGGAGGTCTTAGCTAAGAGTTAGGGTGCGGCTATGGTCCAGGTAAAGCTACGTCCACTGTAGCTAACCCTGTCTTTTCCTCCATCCTTCCCACAACAACAAGATTCTTCTACAACCTGTCACCTGCCAGGAGAGGAGCCAAGAGCGAGCAAAGAGGAGTCCGGGGTCTCAACCCCCAATTCTCAGGCTACCAGCAGAAACCCCTCTATTAGAGCCATCCTCAAAAATGTATGTGGGGCAGGGCTTCTTACCCTCTGTCCCTCACCTCTTTTCTTTCTTTTTGCTCCCTCCCTCTCCCTTTCCTCTAGTTCCCTTTTTGACCCAAGACTTGTCACATTCCTGGATTCTTTCTCATATGTGCACACGTGCATGTGTATTTTCTTGGTTCTTTAATGCCAACCACCATGAAGACAGAGATCCAGAGAAGCCAGGTGTGTGGTGGGGCACACTCAATCCCAATGACTTTGGAGGCTAAAGCAGGAGGATCACAAGTTCAAGGCCACCCTCAGAAACTTAGCAAGACCCTGTCTAAAAATAAAGGATAAAAAGGGTTGGGGATGTAGCTCAGTGGCAGAGTGTCCATGGGTTCAATCCCCAAAACCAAAAAAAGAAAAAGCTGACTGAATCTTATTCCTTTTCTCTAGATCTCAGTCCTGGCCCTCTCTGTCTGCTTCAACTTCACGGTCACCATTGGATTATTCCCTGCTGTGACTGCTGAGGTCAAATCCAGCATCGCAGGCACCAGCGCCTGGGGTAAGGACACTGCAGCTTCCTGACACATAGGGTCTCAGGCAGGACTGGGAATGAAGTTGAGCGAGCCTGGATTGCCTTCTACCCAGGCAGACCTTTCTGGGTCCATTTGTCCTTCCCTGCGCTGGAAGCATCTTTTCTTTCTGTATGGTTGGGGAAGGCGAGGGCCAATGAGGGCCGGAGTTGCTTGTCTGTTTCTCTTCCCTTACTCCTCCCCGTCCTCTTCCAGGAGATTACTTCATTCCTGTGTCCTGTTTCTTGACTTTTAATATCTTTGACTGGTTGGGCCGGAGCCTCACAGCTGTTTTCATGTGGGTAAGTGGAGGAAGGGATATTGGTCCCCTCTGGGAAAAAGGAGTCCAGCCTGAGAGCCAGAAAGGGGGCCATTTTTTTTTAAAGATCCAGACATAATTTATATATAATTAAGTGTATAAGTCTTACGTGTACAACTTAACATGTGTGTGTGTGTGTGTGCACCTATCCAAATCAAGTTGTAGAACATCCCAGCACTCCACAGGGCGCTCCTGATCAATGTCCCCCTAAAGGTAACCAGGCTTAGAGGCCAGTCCAGTCCCCAGGGTCTCTAAATTGAACCCAGGGCTCAGCCTGGCTGAGGCACTGCCCTGTCCCTGCAGCCTGGGAAGGACAGCTGCTGGCTGCCGAGCCTGGTGGTGGCGCGGCTGGTGTTTGTGCCGCTGCTACTGCTGTGTAACGTCCATCCCCGTCGCTACTTGGCTGTGGTCTTCAAGCATGATGCCTGGTACATCTTCTTCATGGCCGCCTTCGCCTTCTCCAACGGCTACCTCGCCAGCCTCTGCATGTGCTTCGGGCCCAAGTGAGTGGGGCCAGGCATTTGTCAGGGTCTAGAGCTCCAAGCAGGGACCCTCAGTGGAGAGAAAGAGGGCAAAAGGAAACTTTCTGGTGCTGAAGCTGATGGCCGCGGGGGAGGGGCTCGAGAGCCCTGGTAAGGGCTGGGGTGCCCGGGCTGCTTAGGTGGAGCTGTGGGAAGGACCTGTTGGGGCAGCATGGAAAACACCTCCTCAGTACACAGTCCCCGAAGAGGCAGAAACAGGTGGGGGTAGGAAAGGAGGACAGATTGGTCTCCCTACCCCAGATACTGGAGACTGTGGCTGGGGTCGGGGCTGGGCAGTCAGCCCTGGGTCGTCTTCCTTCCCTCCTTTAGGAAAGTAAAGCCGGCCGAGGCGGAGACCGCGGGAGCCATCATGACCTTCTTTTTGAGTCTGGGCCTGGCACTGGGGGCTGTCCTCTCCTTCCTGCTTCGGGCAATTGTGTGACCATGGATGGACAGAAGGACTGCACTGCTGACCTGCCTCCTGCCCCTTTTGCCAAGGATGAGCAGGGTAGTCTGAAGGTTTTCTCTTCTTTTAAAGCCAACTTCTGCTTTCTTATGCCCTGTGTGGGGCCTGGATGTCCAGGCCCTGGGGAAGGAGCCTCTGATGGACACTGAGAACACTGGGCTTGAGGGTCATACAGGAGGGGCATGGCCTCTGACTGATGGCTGACTGGTCCCTGCAAGGCAGGTGAGGCTCCTGGGCTCAGAGAGCGTGTATAAGTGTTTTGTTTCTCTCTGCCTACACCAGGGGTGGCTGGGGGGCCAGGACTGACCGTTGTATGGTCTGATCTGATATTTCCCCTCCCTCCTTTCTCCCCACGTGCTTCCTCCCCTTTCTCCCTGCCCCTTTCCCCTGCCCTTCACCCATCCCTACCCATCATACACACTATATTAGATGCTATTTTACTGCCTTTTTTTTTTTTATACTCAACAGAAACAGGTGCCTTCAGAGGCTCTCTGATTAAATTTAAAAAAATTTTTTTTTCCTCTCTGTGCCTCCCTGTGTCCTCAGGCGACAGCTTAATGCCTTGGCATGGTAGAAGATAGGAAGTATGGGTCTGGAGGGATGAGCAGGACCCAGCTGTGGGCCTGAGGGGTTGGGCCTCAGAGGAGCTGTAGTGCCCCCTGCTGGGCCCACAGGGGAGGGACAGGCCTCCAGCCAGGACACCCGAACTGTGGCCCAGACAGAAAAGCCAAGTTTTTTCTTTGTTGCTTCATTTCTCCTTTCACAAGGCTGGAGACAGAGACAGCTTCTTGTCTTTTCTTGATCTTAACTTCTACCCACCCCCCAACTCTGTCCTCAGTCCCTGCAATGAACTCTGAAAAACTGGCCAGCTCCACCCCCAGCTCTTGGCGGTACTCCTACATCACTGGGCAGGAAGAGGCTGAGGCCTGAGGGTTCTCCCCTGCCTGGCACCCAGCCCTGACACCAAAAGCTCTGCCTGCCAGACTTCCTGGGGAACAAGGAGCCTATGTGTCCCTCATATTGAAGCTGGACTTCTTCCTTCTCAGCCCAAACTCTAGCCTAAGGAGGGGTGGTTTGGAATGGGACTGTGAGAGTCTCAGTGAAGGGGTCCTTACCCCTGCCCAAGAATGACTGCCTGGCTAGAGGGAAGTGCAGTCCTCTAGTCATGGTGACCCTCCAGCCCCAGCACTTGGGTATGAGTCTCAGAAAGGCAGGAGGTTTTGCTGCCCTGCCTGGGCTGTCTGTTTACTGATCTCTGACCCTCACATTGCTACTGAGTTGGCACCTCTGGCAGAACTTCCTCGCTTACGGGAGTTTTTTTTAATTGAAGGCTTCAGGCCTCAATAAATTCTGTTAGCTTATTTTTCACTCTTCCATGAGCTCAAGCCCTAATGGGGTTGTTAAGTATACCATCGTAGTGGGAACTGAAGTCCAGGTGCTAATTTGTCAAACTAGAGTATGTATCTGAGGTGAAGGTAGACAAGGTCTTCCTTCTAATCTGGTTCAAGCTGCCGGTTGCTTAGGATTCTTCCTCCTGATGTGATGTACCTGATGTGATGCAAACTGAAGCTACAGACCTGAGATCTTTCTCCTCTGCTTGCCCTCAGGCCTCCCTGCCTTCCCCATTGTACCCAAACCCCAGATCCCTATTGGATCCCTATTGGATCTTCCTTAAGGCCAGCCCCTCCCCCCACCACCTGTATTTCTTCCAGAGGACCCTTTACCACTTCCCTATCTGGCCTTTTGGGACCAACTCCCAGGTCTTCTCTGATCCATCCCAAATGTGGCCACAAGAATAATCTTTTTTTTTTTTTTTTAATTTATTTATTTTGCGGTACTAGGAATTAAACTTAGGGATGTTCTACCACTGAGCTCCATCAGCCTTTTTTTTTTTTAATATATTTTTTTTAGTTTTTGGCGGACACAACATCTTTGTTTGTATGTGGTGCTGAGGATCGAACCCGGGCCGCACGCATGCCAGGCGAGTGTGCTACCGCTTGAGCCACATCCCCAGCCCCACAAGAATAATCTAAGGCCAGACATGGTGGTGCATACCTGTAATCCAAGCTACTGGGGAGGTTGAGGCAGGAAGATCACAAGTTCAAGGCCAGCCTTGGCAATTTAATGAGACCCTGTCTCAAAATTTAAAAAGGTAGTTCAGAGTTACATTGTTCCTGGGTTCCATTCCTGGTACTAACCAAAAAAAAAAAAGAGGAAGAAGAAAGAAAAAAGAATCTGAAAACCAATTTAGGGGTGTGTTCGTTCCTTGATCTGGAGCATGTACCTATCTCACTATTATGTTTTTATCTTTTTTCTCCCTGCTACTGGGGATTGAACACAAGCCTTATGTTTGCTGGACAAGTGCTCTATCACTGAGCTACATCCCTCGCCTTTATTTTGAGCAGGGTCTTACTGAGTTGCCCAGGCTGACCTTGAATTTGGATTCTTCCTGCCTCAGCCTCCCACATAGCTGGGATTTTAGGTACATACCATAGTGGCTTATGTACTTTTCTTTGTCTAGCTACAAGACCACCATGTTTTTGAAGTTAGGTCTGTTTGACTCATGTTTTGGCTTTTCAATTTCAAAATGCTGTGCCTGGCTCCCAGAGGTACTTGGGAAATTTTGCTGCACTGCATCTGCTTGTGTCCTCGTGATATCTGTTGTTCCATCATCTCCACATGCCTGACTCCAGCTATGTGGTGGTGCTCATCGTCCATGCCCTGGCATGTTATGTAGGTTCCTCCCAATCCCAGCATGGTTCAAATAAAGAAAAGGCTACACCCATTTTCTGTACTTAAACTGATGTTAAAGGAAATTACTGGAATATCTTTTCTGAAAAGAAAATCTTATTAATGTAAATGCCCAAATTGGCAACTAGGTGCAGTGTCAGATTCTGACCACAAGTGGGCACTCTGCAAGCAACACTACACTGGGGGAGCCTGGTAGTAGGAAGCAGGGTGCTGTTGGCTCTGGTGTTCCTCTCTGCTTCCAAGAGGAAGGGAGGGAGGGCAGAGCTGGAAAATCTGCCAGGTATCCCTTCCTGCCATGACTTGATACTGCCCATCACCTGACATTTCCGCTCCAAATGGTCTGTCATCCTTCCTAGGGGCTGCCACTGCTACACAGAAATGTCTCTTTTTAGTCTTATGGTGAAATGTTGAGGCCTTGAACACTCTTGAAAAACTGAGCTCTAGTAAAATCAGCATCCATTCTTGAAAATAGAAATGAAGCCTGAGGTCTAATCAACAATTTGGAATATATGTTTATTTTTTGAGGAGAATGTGGAAAGAGCATGGTGTAGGTGAGTATGAGGGGTGGAATGATAGGGGACCCCTAATTCTTGGGAAAACAAAACCCAAATTGTTCTCAGGGTTAAACTATAATAGTGATTCAAAATGAACCTGAGCAGAGAAATGCAGAGTCACTTTTAAAGAGACAGTACTGCTGTCTGGCCTGTTGGCCCCGCCTGAAACCTGAGTCCACGTACAGGAAGAGTGGCTGTCTTTTGGAGGGGCCAGCCAGCAGATCTGATAGAGGCCAGATTGGCAGTGTCCATTGCAGGTCCTGGGGGGTTGTCTGGTTCCTGGGATGCATTGGCACTGAGCATAGAGATGGGCAGAGTTCCAACCCAATCCATCAGTGGCCTTGTGTCCTGGCTGGTTCCTGCAGCCTGTGCACATGAACTGGCCTTTGCCTGGTGCTCTCAGGCCTGGCTGTGCCCACTCAACCCTCTCTAGCCTTGGCTGTGTTGTGCTCCCTGCAAAGGGACAAGTTGGCGTTCCAGCTCCAGGCTGCTGTGAGTGCTAAGTGGGTGAGTGGGTCAGTGTGGCCCATGAAGGCCTCTGCCCAAGAAGCTGCGGTCTCCTAGGCCTTTTGCCAAACAAGAGGGCCATCGTGTTTGGATTCAGAGCCTGGGATTCTGTTCTGGGCCTGCCACGCATTCTCTGTGGCTCTGGCTCCTTTCCTTAAAAGGGGAGGTCGGTATATGTATGGACTTGTTAAGGAAACAGAATCTAGATATAGGAGATGAGGTCCCCAGAGCCACAAGGTGCCATGGTCACTAGGATAAGCCTAAGCATGGCCGGGTCTCTTGTCTAGGCCACTCTGCTCTTCCCCCGTGTCATTCATTCCCCTCTTCCACACTTCCAGGACCTTGGAGCTTGAGAATCAAGCCATTCTTCCCCAGCCTAGCCATTTCCAGCGTCAACTACCGCCTGAGGGCCTGCTTGCCTCGGGACCGCTGGGAAACCTCACTGCACGTTTGGGGCCTGAAGCAGGGTGGGGGTGGGAACAGCCCGGCCAACGCCCCGCCCCTCGGGGAGGGGTGGAGGGTGACGTCACCCAGCGCGCAGGTGACTAGAGGGCAGCCCACGCGCTCTGCTCATCTGGGCTGCTGAACCTGACCCTTTCCGTCTCACAGCCACTCATGTGTAAAGCAGGAATAGTGACACTTGCCCTGCCTGCGGGCGTGGGATTGTGAGAGTCCACTCAGATCTGAGTCGCAGCGTCACTTTCACCACGGCTCTACTGTCTGGCGCATTGTTTCATCTGCTTCCCCAATAGCCCTATGAAGTGCTGACTAGTGCTATGCCCATTTTACTCTGGAAAACCAAGTTTGAAAGGTTGAAGGATGAAAAAAAAAAAAAAAAACTGTAAACTGAATCAATCTGTCTCCTTGCACTCCCCATCCCCCAACGAATTACCAGGCAGCAAAGGAGACAAAAAGACACAAGGGATCCATCGCATGGCATCATACTGCAGGTGTGGTCTGCTACCTCCCATCTCTGAAACATCCCAGAGAATCGAGTCCGTTCACATTCCCAGGAGTTCCAAGCCTCTGGGATACTGAACTTTCATGGCAGCCTTCCAGATGATACCAACAAAGTCACTGATGTCTAACCTCACCCCCACACCCAGATTTCCTCATCACCCAGCAGCACTGTCACAGACCTACTTGTCCCTTATCTGGGTGGAAGTGAACCAGTCAGGCACGGGTCC